TGAATGGCCGATCTTCGGGGTGTGGGACGCTGGCTTGCTCGCCCTTCCGCCGCCCTTTGCCCCCATCCTCCCTGCATCCGCTTTTCTCTTCTGTTTCAGCACCATCTTGGGCTTAGTGCCCAGCTGGCGGCTGGTCCGTCACAGAGGGGCACGTGGTGTAGGTTGAGGATGGGGGAGTGGGCGTTGCTCCCCCTTCATCCCGTCTCGCCTCCGCAGGTTGTTACCTCGTCCCAGCCCCACTCTCGACTTCTGGTCGGGATGGCGGTTGGTCCGGGCACGGACAGCCCTGCGGGAGTGTCAGGGGCGGGATGTTGGGTGGTGGCGGCTGTCCTCGGCGTGAGTACCCCCGCTCCTTCCCGTCTCAGCTTTGTCCATACCTCCTTTTCATCCCGATCTCGACCTCGGCTTCGTGCGGAGCTTGTGGCTTGTTTGGGGATCAAGGGTCGTGGTACAGGTTAGGGGCGGGGTGTGTTGCGGGGTCCTCGGCCCCTCCCCGTTTCGTCCTGCCTTCCTTGCCAACGGGGTCCTCCTTTCCTGACAGATCGTCGTCCTCGACACAGTCCAGGTGGTCTGAATCTCGGGGTGGAGGGCCGTTGGGGGAGGGTTTTGGTCGTGAACGGGGTGGTGTCGGGTTGTGGGGGGGGGAGGAGACAGCGCTTGCACCCTCGTTGCCCCGCTGCTCCCCGTTGCCCTTCCTGGCCCCCCGAACGGGGAGTCGGGCGGGCCTGTGGCAGCGGCTGGTGTTGACGGCTTCGCAACTTTTTATTGATGTAGCTGCTCTGATTTGTCGCTGTCCGGGTTGACGGCCCCCTTCTGTTCTGGTCGAGGGGTCGGTCCTGTCGGAACGGCACCATATTGTAGAACTCTCGGCAAACGAATATCTTGGCCTCGCAACGATGAAGAGCGCAGCGAAATGCGATACTGAATGTGAATTGCAGAAATCCGTGAGCCATCGATACCTTGAACGCACGTGGCGCCCAAGGCTTCTGCCGAGGGCACGCCCGCCTAAGCATCATTGGATTCCTCAGGACCTCAGCACCTTCCTTTCCGGAGAGTGGTGGGGTCCGTGGTCGGGGCTTCCCTCGCTTCCCACTTGGAGAGCGTCGATAGTCTAAAGTGGAAGGGAATTGGAGAGMATTCCGAGCGGGCCTGTGGGGGCCGCAGCCCAGAGTGGTGCGTTTCGCTCCGCCYTGTTGTTGCCCTCCAGCACCCATTTGTGGGTGGTGGTCTTCGTTTCCTTGAAAACGGCACGTAAGGTCGTCCCTCCGGTTTGTGTGGTCGCCGCCTTCCAGTCGCTCCCATCAGCTTGAGGTGGGCTTGCGGTTGGGGGTGTCGGCCTCGAGCTGTGGAGGTACGTYGGGCCTTGCCTTTTGATCTCAGGTCGAGCGGGAGCACCCGCCCAATTTAAGCATATAACTAAGCGGAGGAAGAGAAACCAACGAGGATTCCCTTGGTAGCGGCGAGCGAACCGGGAATAGCCCAGACTGAAAATCCGGGGGCTGTGCTGCTCCCTGAATTGTAGTCTTGAGAGGCAACCTCTGCAGCGGGCCCTGTGCAGGTTCCCTGGAAGGGGACGCCGAAGAGGGTGACAGCCCCGTCGACCGCCGGACCCTGCTGCGCAACGAGGTGTTGTCCAAGAGTCGGGT